CAAATAACTTGTTTCTTGAGCCTTTTCACTGATACTGACTTTATTCATCAAAGCTGTATACTCTCTTTATTTTGAGATTCCAATAGCCTTTTGAAATAATCAGCACTTTTAATTTTCATATGACTGTGATTTGTTGTGAAGTGTCTTCAATTTTGCTGGAGCCATTGCTGCATTTGAAAATTGTTTGCCACAGACAAGGCACAGTGTAATAGGACAACTTGGATCACCAGTCCATGTAAAGCCCATTGATAAGTAACTTTCATTGTAAAGATGGACCTTTTTTATGCCCATTGTTGCACTAGTGCAGTGAAATTTGTCACGAGATTGCAATTCTTCATCAATAGCCTCATCAGATTTGTCTGGATGTTTCCTTTTCAGAGGTCTCCACATTGGACGGTCAGACATTTCTAAAAAATAAAAAATATAAAAAAAATCATAAATTTTTAAAATTCATATAACATCCCTAAATGATCTCCATGAGGAAGTGGAACAGAATTCTTCCTCCGTAAGCCATGCGTGTTGTAAGAGGCGACTAAAATGCCAGGAGCAAGGGGCTAGTAACCCCCTTCTCCTGTATAAATTACTAAATTTGAAAAGAGAAACTTTTGTTTTTCTTTTTGGGCCACCCCGCCTCGGTGGGATACGGCTGGTTTGTTGAAAGAAAGAAGATCCCTAAATGATGGGTAAAATTTACTAAATAACGTGGGTGAATGAGGGGCTGTACCTGCATGCCGTTTGGCCGTAGGTTATCCTGGAAACCTCACATTACCTCTCTAAAGGCAACTTGTCACAGCCGGCTGAACCTTCTTAAAACCCTCACTCATCTTTCATGGGGAGTTGATCATAGAACTCTCGCCTACATTCAGCCCTAATTCTATTGAAACTCGATTATGGTGACCAGATCTATTTGGCGGTCTCTCCTGCTAGAGTTCTGCCTATGGTAGCTTCCCGCTCTCTTTTTCTTGACCACTTCCACTCTCATTCTCATGCCATCACAGTGTACAAAGATAGTTCTAAGTCTTCTGACAGCGTCGGATTCGCGGCAGTGTTTCCAGACAGTGTCATGCGAGGGCATTTACTATCCTCGGCTAGCATTTTTACTGCTGAATTGTATGCCATTCTTGCAGCACTTATCCGTTATTGCATCTATGCCTGCGTCACCATTTGTAATTGTTTCAGACTCCCTTAGTGCTTTACAGGCTATATGAAAATTTGATAAACCTCACCCCCTACATCTCTGTATCCAACTTTGGTTACGCCGTATCTCTATCAAGCCGAAGATATTGTTTTTTGTTGGGTCCCTGGTCATGTTGACGTGCAGGGCAATGAACAGGCAGACACCGCTGTGCAGTCAGCAGCACATGACCTCCCAGTTTCATATAGAGGTGTTCCATTCATGGACTATTTTGCAGTAATTGCTACCCACCTTTGCACCCGTTGGCAACAACGTTGGTCTGATCTGCTCTATAACAAACTTCATTCTATTAAACCGAGCATAGGTTACTGGTCATCCTTTTGTCATCAATGTCAAACTTGAGAGACGACTCTCTCCCATCTTCGCATCGGCTACACTCGTCTTACTCACAGGTATCTCATGGAGAGACGCCTTGTTCCTCTCTGTGAAAATTGTCAGGTTCCAGTATCTGTTAGCCACATTCTGTTGGACTGCCCACTCTATCAACGAGCACGCAGAATTTACTCCCAACGTCGTCTTCGCTCTGTTGCTCTTTCTTTACCTTCCCTTCTTGCTGATGGACCCTCCTTTAATCCGGACTCTCTCATTGACTTTTTGCCAGCAACTGATTTACTCCACAAACTCTGATGATGATACCTTTAGCACTCCCCTCAGTCCTTTCTACCTCAATCTCTTGCTACCCTCTACCCCTGCACTATCCACTGCCCCGCTGTACTCCATAACCTACTAATCATCCCTCTTCCTCTTGCTACCCGATACCCTCACATCCTTCCCTGCCCTGCAGCGCTGTTTAGCCCTTGTGGTTTAGCACTTCTTTTTTATTATAATAATAATAATAATGTACCTGCATGCCAAAAGCACAGACAGGACTGATGGAGACTATGCATGCATCCTATACTTGAGTGAGACACTTGATACACAAATCCATCATGTACAGCTCCTGTCTACTGACCACTAAAGGCAGTTTCAACCTGGTGCCATATAGATGTCGCTGAATATATTCCCTGTGATTATTATATCTTAAATGATATAACCCAAGAATTTTCCAATAACATGTCATATGTACTTGTATAGTAAAATTATGAATATAAGATTAAACACAAAAATTACTCAAAAATGCATTTACATATGATTGGCCTATTTATCACTACTTTTCTCAGAACCCCTAGTGACCTCTTTCAGAACCTTAGGGTTCTGGAGAACCCTGGTTGAAAAAACCCTGTTTTAGTATCAACAAGGATTAAGTCAGAAATATTTAAGAAAAAAGTAATAGGTTTAAATTTGCTAGTGCTCTACAGTTACAGGAAAAAAAAGGATTACCTGAATGAAAGCCGGTGCCAGTTGACATAGTGTATTGCTTTCTCATTTGCACTAACGAGATGAGGTGCTTTTTAACAATAGCTCTGAAATGGCTAGCAGATGGGGGGGGGGGGGCTTTTGATGATTCAGACAGGGAGTTCCAGATCTTACTTTATCTGTGACCAAAAGCAGTTAAGAAATTGTGTAGTTAAAATAATAGGATGTTCTGTTTTGAAGTTTTAATTTGTTATAAATATTTATAGCAGTGGTTCCCAGCCTTTCAACTTCTCCAAAGTTATTGCCATCCAAACTTGAATATAAAATACCTCATTCATTATGTGGTACAGAAGGGCCCTGCTTATGCAGAAGGTTAGGTTCTGGGCTATTGCTCTAAAGTGAAACAGCCTTTTTTCGTTTCAAATATACATAAAAGCCTGATAACACATTTACACTCTCATTAATTAACCCCTTAACTGTTGAAACCCCAAATCCTAAGGTGTCTCCTGATGTCAAAAAATTTTTGAAAAAAAAAAAAAAAAAAAAATCCTTATGAAATGATAGAGAATCTTTTCTAGATGGTAATGACAACAAAAGAATGAAATTTGATGGAAAACTTACGGAATTACGCTCTCGTGAGGTTAGCGACCTCGGCAATATTTACGAATCGGCGATTTCGCCCACTTTGAGCCCTATTTTTGGCTAATTCCATTGTTCCAGTCGACCAAACTCATAGCTATTTCTTTAGAACTCCATTTGTTCTATCGATTGAGTACAAGAAACTGCTCATTTGCCAATTTCAACTACCCAATAATGTGATCAGAAATTTGCAATTTGGCCAATTTCACGCAAATTAAAAAATATGCCAGTTTCAAAGTAGGGTCCAGAATGAACAATGCAGACATTCCTGGCTCTAAAATAACATTTTCTTTGTTCATCAGTCATGTCTCCAGGCCCCTCTGATATTACTCTTGCTTTCTATTTTGAATTTTTATTCAAACAAAAAATAGAAGATTTACTGTTATGCAGACTACTGCAATACTAATAATTGTATAAATAATGTCAACCCATTCATGACTGCATATTAGAACGGCTAGTTGGACATTTATTGCACAAGGACATCATTTGTTTACTTTTGAACATCGGCAAAAATCAAATATTTCCCCTACTTTGAGCTCCATTTCGAGGTTCTTTTCATAGTAAAAACCAATCAAAATCACCTCTATTTCTATAATATGTTTACCATTCTATCAAATGAGACCAAGAAAATGAGAATACAACTATAAATACTATATGAAAATACACCACAAATTATGTTTTAGTCCAAAAAAACGGTCAGTTTTTTTCATTATGCACTGCGTGCTGCAGGATTTTTTTATATGGTGCACCCTGACCACACAGACCCATTCTCTCACATGTGGGCCTACCAGCTTTCTCCTGCTTGATTTGAAGCCGCTAGAATTTTTGAGTATATATGCCTCAAACTTGGTGGCTCGTAAGACGTACATATATATATACGTGTATATGACCGAAACAGTCAAAGGGTTAAGTGAACAATAGAGCTAGGCCTAAAAAATTCACATATAGTACACACATTACTTACCTTAAAATACTGTCATCCTTAGCTTATAGTGAGTGGTGAATATATTTATTGTAGAAAGTGTGAATAAATGAAGACTGGGTATAATTGAAAAACTGCTGCATTAGTGAAATGCTGTAAAGTGGGGCCCTACTGTATTAACTTGGAAATTAAAGGAATTAGTAGTTACTGTATGTGAAGAACATATTAATACTATTTAAGAGTAATACTAATACAGTACCCAAGAGTATTATGTGCATAGAGTACAGTGAATACAATTGTGACTGAGCTATTTTGTCAAAAAGGAAAAAAAATCTTCATGGCTTCATAACCCTAAGAAAAATGCTTGCTGATCCCAGGGTTAGGAACCCCTGGTATCCAATATTTTCCATTTAAAATGTTAGTCAAGTCTTTCCTTCCTTTCCAGAATGTTAAAAAGTTTTGTACAGTATTGTTCAAATCTTCATCACCAGAAAACTTACAAACAGTACTGCATGTACATATTATGACACAAATACTGTAAACATACATTGGCATGGCACTATGGCTGATGTACATGTCGCTCCATCAATGAGGTTAAGCCAAGTAAATGGATGGGTGATCAGATGGACACAGCCTTGATAAGCCATGGGTTTCCCATGACATATATAAATGTTGTGTTGTATTATTTTGATAATTATTGCTGTATTATTACTATTACAGTATTATTTATTGCATTTGATGAAAAAGCACTGAACCTGTAAAGGTAATATAGCACCTGGAAATTGAGAATGGGACACAATCAGATTTGATCTAAGGAATTGGAGAGTAGCTTCAATTCCTTGGCTCAAGAGCCCTTCACCAATATCAAGAATACTCTACTGTAAAATTTATTCAGCAGCATTACATTAAAAGTGCCATAACTAAAGGAGCAATAATTTCTCTTGTCAGGTCTTGCCACTTGTCTGGTTCCCCTCTACTTGTCCGAGGTGGTCACCGCTCAACTCCGAGGTGTCATGGCTGTAACATTCCCTCTTGGCATGTGTCTAGGTCTTTTTATCTCTCAGATAATGGGAATGGAGAGTGTTTTAGGTAAGTCTCATTGTCATCATCATCATCATAATTATCATAATCTTGAGAGTATTATCATCATAGGGAAGTATTAAACTTGCAAGGATTATACAGCACCTTGGGAAAGGGAGAGTATCATGTTTAACCCAATGAAGCACCTTATCCTCTTTAAGGTATTCTTGAAGGACTGGTAACTGTTGATGCTAGTTAGTGATATTAATTCAGTACCTATAATAATAATAATAATAATAATAATAATAATTTTATTTCTTTGTAAAGGTTACAGTGTGTAATTACAGTTTTGATTTGCTAAGTACAAAGATAGCCACTAACATGCTGAGGCATTTCAGGCAAACTAATCCTAATACATAGTAACTAATTCAAACTAGATAAGATAATAGTACATAGTAATTATTACTTAAAACTAAACATAGAATAGTGGTTAGCTGTTTTACAATCTTATTTGGACTTAATAAATCTTATGTATACTTAGTTAAAAATCTAATTTACAAGGAATGGTGCAGGTGGTAATATTTTATGGGATGGCAGAATTAAATGCCAGGAGGTTACATGATAAAATTAGTCAGTAGATGTTTGGTTGATTTGGTTAATATTGTGAGATAAGATGATTTTTTAGCAGAGTCCTAAATTTATAAGTTGTTTTGGGATCCTTGACCTGTTCCGGTAGCGAGTTCCAGATCTTTGTGCCTTTTATGTGCATAGCGTTCTTGCATAGTGAGAGTCTTACTCGAGGGATGTTGAAAAGTAAAATAATAATAATTACAGAGTGTACCACTAGAACACCTAGCATGGCTAGGCATTTCGGGCAGACTTAGATTAAATCTTAAGTTTAAAATAGTATTACAAAATTATGAGGTAAGTTGGTATTATGGCTAAGTGACTAAATACTAGTTTGTGAGTTTAGCAATGTGAATGGTTTTGTTTTGGCACTATACATAGTTTCAGTATTGGAGTATCACAGGCCAACTTATGACTAGTTAAGATTCATTATTTTGAGATTGAGATTGATATTTCTGTTTATGGTCAAATGGGTGAGTGAGTGTAAGTGTGAACCACCAGGTGGTATTCATATAATTAGTTGACAGGGTGTATCAGGGAGATAAGATGTTTTCTGATGGTAGTTTTGAAGGTAATGAATGTGTCTGCAGTTTTAGAATTTTCAGGTAGGGTGTTCCAGATTTTAGGGCCTTTGACATACATTGAATTTTTGTAAAGGTTTAGTCGGACATGGGGAATGCCATAGAGATGTTTGTGTCTGGTGTTGTGCCTGTGGGTTCTGTCACAACTATCAAGAAAGCATTTTAGGTCAAGGTTAATATTGGAATTTAAGGCCCTGTAGATGTAGATTGCACAGTAGTAAGTGTGGATGTACTGAACAGGGAGTAAGTTTAGATCTATGAAGAGTGGGGGGGTGTGTTGCCAGGGATGGGATTTAGTGATTATTCTTACTGCGGCTTTTTGTTGGGTTATTATTGGCTTTAGGTGTGTTGCTGCAGTTGAACCCCAAGCACAGATAGCATAGGTGAGGTATGGATATATAAGTGAATGGTATAGTGTGAGAAGGGCAGTTTGTGGCACGTAGTATTGTATCTTGGAGAGGATCCCAACCGTTTTGGATACTTTTTTGGTTATGTGTTGGATATGGGTGCTGAAGTTCAGGTTGTTGTCGAGGTATAGGCCTAGGAATTTGCCCTCATTATGCCTGGCAATTAGAGTGTTGTCGATCTTAATGTTAATTTGCGCATCTCCTGCTCTGCAACCAAACATAATGTAGTAGGTTTTGTCAGTGTTAAGCGTAAGTTTATTGGCTGTCATCCAAGTCGATATTTTGATCAGCTCCTCATTAACAATGGTGTTGAGGGTGGCAAGATTAGGGTGAGAGATGACATAAGTCGTGTCGTCAGCAAAGAGAATGGGGTTCAGGTGTTGAGATACGTTTGGAAGATCATTGATGTATATGAGGAAGCGCAGGGGACCAAGGACACTTCCCTGCGGAACTCCAGTATCAAGTGGCTGTGTTGTTGATGCTGCGTCTTTAATGGTGACATACTGATACCTATTAGTAAGGTAAGATTTGAAATATGCAAGTGCATGGCTTCTTATACCATAATGGTCAAGTTTGTGGAGTAGGATGCCGTGGTCTACTGTGTTAAAAGCTTTTCTTAGGTCAATAAAAATTCCTAGTGGATATTCCTTATTTTCCAATGCTGTGTAAAGCAGATCTAGCATTTTTATGATTGCATTGTTAGTGCTTTTATTTTTCTTGAATCCAAATTGGCAGGGGTTGAGTATGTTTTGTGCCATTATAAATGAATATAGTCTCCTGTGCACGAATTTCTCAAAGATTTTGGATAGCAATGGTAAGTTTGATATTGGCCTATAGTTGTTTAAATCTGTAGGGTCACCACCTTTATGTATTGGTGTAACCCTTGATGTCTTGAGTAGTTTCGGGAAGGTGCTAGTTTCTAGTGACTTGTTAAAAAGTAATGAGATAGCATACGAGAGGACATGGGCCGCTCTCTTGTACAATAATGGTGGGGCATGAGACAGATTCCCTGAGTTATTTTTAAGTGACTTTATAATCTCGGTGACTTCCGTGGGCTCAGTTGGAGCAAGATAGAAGGAATTTGGGAAATTCCCATTAGGTAGTCCCTGGCATGGGCATCGGTACGTGGGATTTTATTGGCGAGATTAAAACCTGTGGTTAAGAAGAAGTCGTTTATCTTGTTAGCTGTGTCAGTGGGTTGCAGTGGTGTTTCATTAGGGCCTTATGCCTTGTATTGTGACTGTGCATTCTGTTGTAACTGTCGAGGAGTAGTTTTAGGGGAGGGTTTACAGTGGAGTTTAAAGTTCTGTATATGTAGTAGGCACAATAATAAGAGTGTATGTCTTGTATATTTAGCAAGTTGAGTCTTTTGAAAAGTGGTGGAGTGTACTGTCTAGCACAGGAGCTGGTTATCACCCGCACAGCAGATTTTTGTTGGATTATTAAGGGTCTAAGGTGGTTGACTGTGGTTGAGCCCCAGGCACAGATACCATAGGTGAGGTAAGGATATATTAGAGATTGGTACAGGGTAAGGAGAGTCGTTTGTGGTACATAGTAGCATATCTCGGAAAGGATTCCTACTGATTTTGAAATTTCCTTGGTTATGTGATGGGTATGGGACTGAAATTTAAGATTACAGTCAAGGAGAAGACCTAAAAATTTGCCCTCCGTGTGTCTTGATATAGGGGAACCATTTAACAGCATGTTGAGTTGAATATTTGAGGCTCTGTTGCCAAACAGCATGAAGTAAGTTTTGTCTATACACAATACACAAATAACCCACACATAAAAGAGAGAAGCTTACGACGATGTTTTGGTCCGACTTGGACCATTTACAAAGTCACACTAACCAGAAGTGGAGCAGGACGGCTATATATAGGCAGGAAGAGAACTGGTATTGTGGTTAATGGTAATTAATATGGAGATAAGGGCAAATGTGCTGGGAAAACTGGTGAAGGTTTATGCAGTACTAGTGGATATTGCCCAAAAATTTAAAACAAACAAAAAATTGTGCTCTCAAAGGACTTCACATAATAATCCAAACATTCACTGAGAGTACATAATGTTAGTATATGACTCATAAAATCATAATGACATGATTGTAAACTCAGTGAATGGAGGGTTGGAACCCATGGCAAGCTAGTATCAAGACTAGCAAACTTGTGTGTTATCCACTGTACCATGCCAGCCCAAAAAAGAATCATTCAAGTAGGTATATTTTTGTATATACTAGTGAAATTCGTTTCTTAAAACCTGCATTTGTGGTCACAGTGGGGCCCATGCTAATCTTCCTAGTGTGTATAGAAATACTTAGTTGGATGAATTATGTTAGGCTGGCATGGTACATTGGATAGCACACTGACTTGCTAGTTTTAAGACTGGCTGGCCATGGGTTTGAACACTCCATTCAGTGAGAATAGTATTCCTCTATGTTTTGGTGTCTGACAGGTGTGCTGGTTTCTTGCTGTTTTCTGAACATTAAAAATCAGTAATAACTCCTACTTACAGGAAGGCACCAAATATACAGCAGGTTAGGTTCCGGGCTACTGCTGTAAAGCGAAAATTGATCTAAAGTGAAACATAGCCTTTTTTCACTTTCAAATGCATATAACATGTTTACACTATCATATATTAAGTGAGCAGTAGAGCTAGGCCTTAAAAATGCATATACAGAAAACACGTTACTTACCTTAAAATATTTTAGTCCTTAGTTTATAGTGACTGGTGATTATATTTATTGTAGGAAATATGAATAAATAAAGAATGGGTATAATTGAAACTTGCTACATTAGCGAAATGCTGTAAAGTGAAGTGCTGTAAAGCAGGACCCTCCTGCACATTGTACACATATTATCTGTATAACTCTTTAAGAACATAAGAAAGGAGGAACACTGCAGCAGGCCTGTTGGCCCATACTAGGCAGGTCCTTTACAATTCATCCCACTAACAAACATTTGACCAACCCAATTTTCAATGCCACCCAAGAAACAAGCTCCGATGTCCAAGTCCCTCTCAAATCCAACCCCTCCCACTCATGTACTTATCCAACCTAAATTTGAAACTACCCAAAGTCCTAGCCTCAATAACCCAACTAGGTAGACTGTTCCACTCATCAACTACCCTATTTCCAAACCAATACTTTCCTATGTCCTTTCTAAATCTAAACGTATCTAATTTAAATCCATTACTGCGGGTTCTCTCTTGGAGAGATATCCTCAAGACCTTGTTAATATCCCCTTTATTAATACCTATCTTCCACTTATACACTTCGATCAGGTCTCCCCTCATTCTTCGTCTAACAAGTGAATGTAACTTAAGAGTCTTCAATCTTTCTTCATAAGGAAGATTTCTAATGCTATGTATTAATTTAGTCATCCTACGCTGAATGTTTTCTAACGAATTTATGTCCATTCTGTAATATGGAGACCAGAATTGAGCTGCATAATCTAGGTGAGGCCTTACTAATGATGTATAAAGCTGCAGTATGACCTCTGGACTTCTGTTGCTTACACTTCTTGATATAAATCCCAGTAATCTATTTGCCTTATTACGTACGCTTAGGCATTGCTGTCTTGGTTTAAGGTTGCTGCTTACCATAACCCCCAAGTCCTTTTCGCAATCTGTATGGCTAAGTTTTACATTATTTAACTTATAAGTGCTAGGGTTATGGACACTCCCGAGCTTCAGAACCTTGCATCTATCTACATTGAACTGCATCTGCCACTTTTCTGACCAAGAGTAGAGTTTGTCTAAATCCTCCTGAAGTTCCCTAACATCTACGTTTGAATCAATTATCCTACCTATCTTTGTGTCATCGGCGAATTTGCTCATATCACTAGTAATTCCTTCATCAAGATCATTGATATATATTATAAACAACAACGGGCCCAAGACTGATCCCTGTGGAACGCCACTTGTTACTGATCCCCACTCGGATTTAACCCCATTTATGGACGCTCTCTGCTTCCTGTCTGTGAGCCATGATTTGATCCACGAGAGCACCCTTCCCCCAATGCCATGAGCTGCTACTTTCTTCAACAGTCTTTGGTGCGGAACTCTATCAAATGCCTTACTAAAATCTAAGTAAACAATATCAAATTCTTTATTGTGGTCAACAGCCTCAAAAGCTTTACTGAAGAAAGTTAATAAATTAGTTAGACAAGACCGGCCTCTTGTGAATCCATGCTGAGTATCATTAATCAAGCTATGCTTATCGAGATGGCTTCTTATAATCTCAGCTATAATTGACTCTTAGTAATTTGCCTACAATTGAGGTCAGGCTTATTGGGCGGTAATTTGACGGTAACGACTTGTCCCCTGTTTTAAAAATAGGAATTACATTAGCCATCTTCCACATATCAGACACTACACCTGTTTGAAGAGATAAATTAAAAATATTAGTTAATGGTTCACAGACTTCCATTTTGCATTCCTTTAGAACCCTTGAAAAAACCTCATCAGGACCCAGTGACTTATTTTGCTTCAGTCGGTCTATCTGCTTCACAACCATTTCACTATTTCATCTAATTTCTTTATAAGGGATAAACGTTTTTTGAGCAGCATGTATTGTGTTCAGAAAACTGTCATATTGATAGCTCTCTTCGTTACCCCAGTCAACAGATGATAAGTGTTCTCTAAGCCCATCGTAATCTGCTAAGCGAAAATCTGGGACTGTTACTGAGTTATCCCTACTATCATACTTCCATTCAATTCTAAATGTAATTGATTTGTGGTCGCTAGCACCCAGTTCCTCTGAAACTTCTAAATTATTAACAAGGGATTCATTGTTTGCCAGAACTAAGTCAAGCAGGTTATTACCCCTTGTAGGTTCTGTCACAAACTGCTTCAAAAAACAATCCTGAACTACTTCTAAGAAGTTGTATGATTCTAAATTCCCAGTCAAGAAATTCCAATCAATATGACTAAAGTTAAAGTCTCCTAGAATTACTACATAATCGTGCCTTGTGGCCCTAACAATTTCCTCCCATAGTAGTCTCCCCTGGTCCCTATCTAAATTTGGGGGACGGTATATCACACCTAAAATTAACTTTTCATGCCCCTCTGAAAATTCTATCCAAACAGACTCTGTATGTGTTACTTCAGACTTAATACCCGTTTTTATGCAACAGTTCAAGCGATCTCGGACATACAGTGCCACCCCACCCCCCTTCCCGATACTTCTATCTACTTGGAACAATTTAAAACCCTGAATGTGACATTCTGCAGGCATGTCCTGACTTTTTGAATTAAACCACGTCTCAGTAATGGCAAATACATCTATGTTACCTGCACTAGCAACTAGTCTCAACTCGTCCATCTTATTCCTAGCACTGCGACTATTTGTGTAATAAATACTTAAAGACCCTCCTCTCTCTTTACCCTTCCTGCTCCTTTCTGTTATCCACTAAACCTATTATGCCTTTTCAATTAGTGCCACGGGCTTCCAATACCCACCTTATTTTCCCTATTACATTCCCCTATACTCATATTATACCCTGAGACTTCACAGTTTTCCCCAAAACCCATACCACAACTACCTAGTTTAAAAGCCCTAACAGTCCCTCCACTGCTTTGGGCCATGCTCCCCCCCCACCCTAGATAGTAAACCCCCACCCTGGCATACATGTCATTTTCCCTAGAAGGGGTCCCATTTTAAAAAAATTTTCCCGCATTTTCCCTTACAATTTGTCCAGCCAGCAATTGACCCCAAATTGCTCGGGAAAAAACCATTCACCCCCAAACTCCCCCCCTTGGCAAAATGCACAATACGGTTTTCCCACCCTTCCTCCTAATTATCTCTTTTTGCGACCTATTACCTGAATCGGGTCCTCACTCCTTTTCTGCCAACATCGTTGCCTCCAGCACTGAGACAATAATAGGATTGCTCCCATTACCTCTCATGAGTCACCCAGTGGCTAAAAATATCCTTCATCCCCCCCAGAAAACACACCTCGCCTCCTACCCTATCCTTCAAGCAGAATGCCCTACCCATGTCCCAAAAATCGGGCATCCCCAAAACAACAATTTTTTTTACCTTCCTTGGCGTCGCCGTCGTGATGCTCCGAGTATCACTCACATTCGCCGGGTAGCTTTACCCCTTTGTAAACTCGTCAAGCGTCCGATGGTCTTCTTTGGGTTTTTCTAGGGATGTCTCACTCAGTTGCAATGCTTCTTTGGTGCTCGTTGGGGCTTTCCCGTAAAACACTCACATTCGTCGGGTAGCACCGAAAATGGGTTGGAAGTTTCCAGGGTATTTTCGGGTTTTCTGTTTTTTTCTCCCCTCCAAAAACCTTTTTTTGATCTTGCTTGTTCCATGTTGCCCGGGCCCCTGCCAAGCTCCCTCTTAACCTGGGACTCACAACAGGAGGAAATTTCTACGAAACCCTTGTTCTCCTCCGTTTAATCGCCCTATGTCCATCTTAGAACTTGAGCTCTTTTTCCCCGTGCTGGGAAAATTGCTCAAAGAGGGCATCCTGGGGCAAATTACGAGAGCACACAAAAGGTCTTCACAGGCTAAGTACATGTCACCATGCTAAAGGAAGGGGCTGCAAAGGAGGTGAAACCCAAATCCATCTTGACGACACGTTTTTTCTTTCGCTACGTCCCCGGGCTAGTCTAGGGGGAGGTTCGTTCCCTTTCCCGTCTTCACTTATGCTTTAATCAGTTCACATATCTTAACCCGCTAAGTTTCCCAAAACACTTATCTTTACTTTGTTTCTTTAACCGTGTCCAATTTTTTAATGTAAGGGGAAAAAAAGTAATCCCGATTTTTTGCTTTCCAAAAGAGTACATCACTGATTTTCTGCACCCTTTTTCCTCCCTTGTCAAATATTGATTTGCCAACCAACAGAGGGGCATAATAAAATTTCAAAACACTCTGACCCATCATGGTTTGCTGGAAACTTAAAAATAAATTTTATGAAAAAAGGTTTTTTTAATTACTATATTACAAAGAATGACCCAGACACTACTCCCAAAGTACTTTTTTTCTTTTTTTTTTTTCAAGTAATCTTATTATTATTATTTTTTATTTTTACAAACAAAACAATCCCAAGTATAAATTTACACAAATAACCACACATAGAGTGAGAAGCTACGCTGTGTGAAATTTTTAAATGGTCCAAAATCGGACCAAAAATTTCATAAATTTTCACTCTTTGTGCAGGTTATTTTGGATTGTTTTCCCGTTACAGTAATGTGACTTTTTTGTTCTTTCTATAAATTTTAGAAAAATTTAATGGAACTCAGAGCTAATCACAAGGGTGGAAGCTAGGGGTTTTTGTGATTACTGTCTGTTTCATACAATCGTGATGTTACAGGGGGGGACATCTTGGTACTTGAAGTTAAGCAAAAGGGGTTTTCTGTGAAGGCCTACTGCTTTGACACACATTCTTCTTGGTTATCTTTTTAAATATTTCATGCAAGTGAAGTTGCTTCATGTGCTTTGATCTTTCCCTGTGCAATTTTTTATGCATGAAATAAGAATTTATTAGCTCTTGCTCTGTCACAAAGGAACATTGTTTTAGCCCTTTGATTAATTCACTTGACAAGTCAATAAACTTGTCAATAGCTATAGCTAAGAACAAGTTACTTGTATAGCTATTAATCCTAGCCTTACCTAGGGTTAATTGTTGGTAAAATATGCTAAGAACTGCACAGAATCAAGGAATCATCACCAAAAACTGTGGTGCAAACAATATAAGAGCACACTACATACAATGCCATCTGCGGCCTTCCAGTAAACCAATCTTGCAAAAAAGTAGTGTCGTAATTTTGCCCAGACTAAAAGAGGTGCCAGACCATCCATTGCTGGAAAATTAGTGCTGTACCTGTATTAGAATGAGGGAAGAACTAGAAGTGAATATAAATAAATGTAAGAAGCAGTAAGAGGGTCTTAAGGGGTTAAACACAGCAGAGATAGCTGTGATTAAAACATGATATGCTGAACACAAATTTGTATAATAATGTTTTTACAGGTACCGAATATGGTTGGCCATATTTATTAGGAGGTTACATAATTTCTGTGTGTCTGGCTATCTTTCTTCACCCATTTCTCCCAGAGTCGCCAACATATTGTTACATTATATCACATGATGAAACCAGGGGACACAAAGGTAAGAATTTATTCTTATTATGTCTTGTACTCTTTTATTTTATACACTTATAAGTCTGTTGAGTTAACCTCTTCTCCTGTATATACCTGGAGGGTATTCCAAGGGTCAGCGCTTCTGCGGCCCAGTCCATGACCAGGCCTTGCAGTGGATCAGGGTCTGATCCCTGCCTCAGTGGGAGACAGTTGCTAACGTTGAAAAAAAAAAAGTTTGTCAAGTGTAGACTCTGTCTTAATACTGTGGCTGCAACAGTTCACAACTGTGGTAACCTAAAAAATGGAAATGAAACAAGACAACATTTTAGTCTATCCAAGTGAAAGTATCCTTTGAACTAGAAGATTCTGAAAATGAAAGATAACTTGGGCATGCACTAAACTCGTGTGTCTGAGTAGGCATAGTATACTATGTTTGTTTTTGCACTTGGGTTTTATTGGGTGGAAGATAGATCTCCAAATAGAGTACAGGCAGGCCCTGCTTATACAGCAGGGTTAGGTTCCAGGTTATTGCTGTAAAGCAAAACTTACTGTAAAGTGAAACATAGCTTTTTTCACTTTCAAATGCATATAAAAGCCCAGTAACATGTTTACACTATCATATATTAAGTGAGCAATAGAGCTAGGCCTGAAAAATGCAGACACAGTACACACATTACTTACATTAAAATATTTTTATCCTTAGCTTATGGTGAGTGGTGAATATATTTTTTTGATATATTTTTTGTAGGAAGTCTGAATAAATGAAAAATAGGTATAATTGAAAACCTCTGCATTAGCAAAATGCCGTAAAGCAGAGCACTGTAAAGCAGGGCCCTCCTGTATTACATATATTACTGTAATCAGTTTTTGCCTATTAAATGTGAAGTTGATTCATTCTGTCCATGTGTGGAATTCTTAAGCTAATTGTTAATAAAATTGTTCATGGTAGTTGAGCTAGAGTCTGAGTAGATGAATGTACCACAGTCTCAATAGCAAAAAGAGAATTTACATTGTGTGGCACTAGGAGGAAGTTGATAGTGTATACATGAGGAACAGGAGAAAGCCAGGTATGTTACCCTGTGGGAATACCAGTGGTCATTGGAATGTAGGTGAAGTACAGTGAACTCTTGATTTAACAAACTTTAATTTACTGTTTCGGAAATACCTAAAAACAACAAAATCTGTTGGGTCAGATGATTCAGAAACGACTGAGAAATTCTATTGGTTGCAAAATTGTCTGTTATTATGAGGATCACAGCAATACAAATCTCATCTTTATCCACCACACTTACCCTTACTGGCCACTCACTTTTCCTGTTAGTACGTTAAACCAAAGGTTTCCTGGAGTGTTATTTTTTTAATCACATTGGCTGTTTTCCACCAAGGTGGAGTGATGCAAAGGAAACACATTCACCATCACTTATTTAATACAGGCACCCCTCAAGTTACGATGGGGTTATGTTCCGATGAACCAATTGTAAGTCGAAAATATCGTAAGTCGAATATGACTGTGATATGCTAAATAAGATATGCTGAATAAGTAAATAAACAATTACTGTAACTAATTGCTCTTGCACTGTCGTAAAGTCAAAATATTGTAAGTCGAACCATCGTAAGTCAAGGAGAACCTGTAGCTGTCTTGCCAGAAGTGTGTGAACCTCAACTTATTGGTGTCTGTTTCTAAGGTAAGATGAAATATTATGGTACAGTATTTGTGTTCTACTGTACATGCATACATACAAATACAAATAATTTATGTATTTCTTTTCTGCAGCATACACATAATGTAGTTAACATGTAATAAAATATTGTTAGGCAGAAAAGAAAACCATTAGCATGTGGTGCATTTTGAGCTGACTAATCCTAATGCTTTAATTAAAGACTACTTAAGAACCAGACATAGGTTATTAAGTAGGAGTTTTTAAATGTACAAAAAAAGAGAGGTGGCTAAATGAACAATAGTACATTGGAACCTCAGTATTCGTATGTCCCTGTTGTATTCATATAACTCAATATTTGCCCAACTTTTTCAAGAAAAATTTGACTCGGTATTTGGATGTTGCCCTGATACTGAGACGGACCATTTTGCTGTCTCAACGAAGTCCGATGAAAACAAAGCATTACACACTCAGTCTCTCATCAGCTTTTGTTCTTGCAAACTTCATGAAACTTTTTGGTATTTTATTGTTATTCTGTGGCATTTTTTTAAATATTTTCATTGAAAATAAATAATCATGGCCCCAAAAGAATAGTGATCCAGACAAGCCTAAAAGAAAAGCAGTGAGAACAACAAAGTGAAAAAAGAACTCAAATATTTTGAAGGCTTTGAGGCAGAGCCTGTAGTGAAGGATATTGTTTCTTGTGCCAGTCCATGGGTTTGGAAGTGGATGATGAGGATGTTGAGGAGTTGGTGGAGGATCACAAGAATGAGTTCACCACAGAAGAACTTCAAGACCTGTACAAGGAGCACCAAGAAGAAGTAGTTGAGGAAATTTCTTTTTCTTCTTCAGAGGAGGAGGGAAGTAGGAAGGGTAGCATTTCCACTGCATAAATTAAGGAATTGTGTTACCATTAGACTCAAACACAGAGCCTGGTGGAAAAATGCCATCCTAACATTGTTGTGAATATGAGCATCAACCTGTTCAATGACAAATATTATTATACAGGTTTAAATAAGCAATATTTTCACTTAAAATATTTTATAATTGGTTATTCTTGGGGATCTGCAATGGATTAATCCAATTTACATTATTCATATGTGAAAAATTGATTCAGTATTCTTTTTTTTTTTTTTTTTTTTAAACAAGTCGGCCGTCTCCCACCGAGGCAGGGTGACCCAAAAAGAAAGAAAATCCCCAAAAAGAAAATACTTTCAACATCATTCAACACTTTCACCTCACTCACACATAATCACTGTTTTTACAGAGGTGCTCAGAAAACAACAGTTTAGAAGCATATACGTATAAAGATACACAACATATCCCTCCAAACTGCCAATATCCCAAACGCCTTCTTTAAAGCGCAGGCATTGTACTTCCCATTTCCAGGACTCAAGTCCGGCTATATAAAAATAACCGATTTCCCTGAATATTATTTTTTTTATTATCACACTGGCCGATTCCCACCAAGGCAGGGTGGCCCGAAAAAGAAAAACTTTCGCCATCATTCACTCCATCACTGTCTTGCCAGAAGGGTGCTTTACACTACAGTTTTTAAACTGCAACATTAACACCCCTCCTTCCCTGAATCCCTTCACTAAATATTACCCTGCTCACACTCCAACAGATTGTCATGTCCCAAATACCATTTGTCTCCATTCACTCCTAACACGTTCACACACACTTGCTGGAAGTCCAAGCCCCTCACCCACAAAACCTCCTTTACCCCCTACCTCCAACCTTTTCGAGGACGACCCCTACCCCGCCTTCCTTCTCCTACAGATTTATACGCTCTCCATGTCATTCTACTTTGATCCATTCTCTCTAAATGACCAAACCACCTCAATAACCCCTCTTCAGCCCTCTGACTAATACTTTTATTTACTCCACACCTCCTAATTTCCACACTCCAAATTTTCTGCATAATATTTACACCACACATTGCCCTTAGACAGGACATCTCCACTGCTTCCAACTGTCTCCTTGCTGCTGCATTTACAACCCAAGTTTAACACCCATATAAGAGTGTTGGTACTACTATACTTTCATACATTCCCTTTGCCTCCATAGATAACATCTTTTGTCTCCACATATACCTCAACGCACCACTCACCTTTTTTCCTTTATCAATTCTATGATTAACCTCATCCTTCATAAATCCATCTGTATTCATACAATGCACTATTCAAATGGATTAAGTTTGAATATTGAGATACCATTGTACAATTTTAAGTATGAATTAATACTTCAAACTGCTTCAGTGATCTTCACTTAAGAGGGACTTCTTTAGCAGTTTCAAACTGACTCATTGTCCTAAGTTTATGATAACTGGTAATTTTCAGAACTCTCTCGCTTACATGGAGATAATAAATATGTGGAAGCTGAGGAGTCATTGTTAAGAATGCATGCCAAAATTTGTGCCACACCACAAGCAGGCAAAACATGGACTATTTCAAGAGTGTTCAAGTTTCATGGCAACAAAATGCCATTAATAATTACTATACTTTTCAATGCTGGACAGCAGTTTTCTGGCATTAATGCTGTAAGTAAAACTGTTTACTACTGTATTCTTTAGTATCCCAGAAATTAGTTACAATACAGTGGACCCGGTTAACGAACTTTTTTCATTCCAGTAGTATGTTCAGGTGCCAGTACTGACCGAATTTTTTCCCATAAGGAATATTGTGAAGTAGATTAGTCCATTTCAGACCCCCAAACATACACGTACAAACGCACTTACATAAATACACTTACATAATTGGTCGCATTTGGAGGTGATCGTTAAGCGGGGGTCCACTGTACTTGATTTTAATATTTTTTAAGCTAACACACCTTGTGGTAGATTGTAAGTTGATTTTTATTGCCCTTGTAATGACCAAATAATATCTTTATGCTGTATATCCTATTTGCCTCCTTATTGTGCCACTAAAATGTGCATAGCCATAAGAATATAAAGCCATAACTATTATAAAATTCCTGTCTTCATTTGTTATCTATGCATTTTATTTTTCATATGTATGAGAGATCACTGATATTGCAGAATTCATTCATACACAGTATATATTTTATTTTAGGTGTTTTACTACTCAACACTGATCTTTCGGAGTGCAGGTCTGAACATGTACCAGAGTCAAGGTGCTTCAATAGGCGCTGGGGCTGTCAACTGTTTCATGGCAATACTTGCTGTGCCACTTATCAAGTAAGACTTTAATTACACAAAATCTCGTTAATTACTGTAGGCATAAATGGTACATGGGCAGGAGCAGGGAGGGCTGGGCAAAGACAGCCTGTCAAGCCAGAGTTGCTTTAAATCTGTTCTAGCTTTCATAGCTCAACTGTATATAAGTGACTATTACTGAAAATTATTGCATTCTTTAGGAGAGGTGGGGATATTGCAGTTTGGAGTGGCATCTGAGCTGTAATATTGACAGCATACCTCTAGCAAGACAATGATAGTGATGATGGTGGTTTTTCTTTTTTGGATCACCCTACTTAAGTGGTAGACAGCCAGTGTGTTAAAAAAAAAAAGTTTTGTATTTGCATTTGTACAACGAGGGCAACAGTATTTATTAAAAGGGTGGCTCCAGAAGAATTTATATTGTTAGGTTTTCCTGTTCTACTGGCTGAGCCATTAAGTACAGTAGTAGTAGTATATTCATAGGGAAGCACTAAACCCATAGGGGTTCTACAGTGCAAGGGAAATGGAAGGTAATCAGGTTTAATCCAAAGGGAGGGTTGTTCCAATTCCTTGTATCCAGAGCCTTCACCAGCATCAAGGCACCCATCCTTGATTATTATTATAATCAAAGGGGAAGCGCTAAACCCGTAGGATTATACAGCGCCCGGGGGGGGGGGGAGGATGTGGAAGGCATTCAGGCTTAATTCGGGGAACTGAAGCACAGTTCCAATTCCCTAAATCAAGAGCCCCTCACCAACATCAAGGAACCTTCCATGAGGGGACCCATCCTTGAAATCATTATTATAATCAAAAAAAGCGCTAAACCGACAAGGGTCATACAGCGCTGATCCTTGAAATGAGTTAAGTATTAAATGCTGGAGTGTACCATACTCTGGATATTGAGAACTTGCTAGACACTCAGATATTATAGTGCAGTATTACAGTTATGTAATTAGTCAAAAATATTTATGATAGACTAAAACTGTTTTATTTTGTAAATTATTTAACTTAATTATTGCAGTGATTTGTTTTTTGTCTTGCAGATATTGTCGGCGTAGAGTGTTACTACTAACTTCTGTGGCATTGTGTACCTTTTGTCAAATAGTGCTCATGGTGGCCCTCAAACTCATCTCTACCTCTCCATATGCACCATTTGTTGCCATAGCAGCTCTTCTGTCATTTGTACTAGTTTATGGCATGGGTCTTGGTCCTGTCCCATTCATGATTGCTACTGGTAAGTCTTCAACAATATTAATTCACTTCACAACCTGCACATAGAATAGTCAAACTTATGTTTCAGCCCAACTTGGACCATTAACCCGTTTGGTGTCGGTCCCGGAAAATTACGGCTTTGAAGCCAGTGTTGGTCCCGTAATACAACACCAAAATTCTAGCAACTTCAAATCTTGCAGGAGAAAGCCATATGAGAGAATGGGTCTGCATGGTCACTGTGCACAGTATAAAAAAAATCTTGCAGCAAGCAGTGCATAATGAGAAAAAAACTGCAACAGTGTTTTTAGCTTAAAACAGTGTATTTTCGTATGGTATTTATGGTTGTATTGTCATTTTCTTGGTCTCATTTGATAGAATGGAAGATATATTACAGAAATAGAGTGATTTTGAATAGTTTACCTAATAAAAGTGGCTTGAAATTGAGCTCAAAATAGCGGAAATGTTAGATTTTTGACGATGTTCAAGAGTAAACAAATCACGTCACTCATCCAATACACATCTGTAGGTGGGTCTAATATGCATTCACAAGTGTTCTGATATTATTTATACATTTATTACATTTATGCAGTAGCCTGAGTGACAGTAAATCATCTAGTTTTTGTGTTTACCTGGAGTTTACCTGGAGAGAGTTTCGGGGGTCAACGCCCCCGCGGCCCGGTCTGTGACCAGGCCTCCTGGTGGATCAGCGCCTGATCAACCAGGCTGTTGCTGCTGGCTGCACGCAAACCAACGTACGAGCCACAGCCCGGCTGATCAGGAACTGACTTTAGGTGCTTGTCCAGTGCCAGCTTGAAGACTGCCAGGGGTCTGTTGGTAATCCCCCTTATGTGTGCTGGGAGGCAGTTGAACAGTCTCGGGCCCCTGACACTTATTGTATGGTCTCTTAACGTGCTAGTGACACCCCTGCTTTTCATTGGGGGGATGGTGCATCGTCTGCCAAGTCTTTTGCTTTCGTAGTGAGTGATTTTCGTGTGCAAGTTCGGTACTAGTCCCTCTAGGATTTTCCAGGTGTATATAATCATGTATCTCTCCCTCCTGCGTTCCAGGGAATACAGGTTTAGAAACCTCAAGCGCTCCCAGTAATTGAGGTGTTTTATCTCCGTTATGCGCGCCGTGAAAGTTCTCTGTATTATTATTATTATAATCAAAAAGGAAAGTTCTCTGTACATTTTCTAGGTCGGCAATTTCACCTGCTTTGAAAGGTGCTGTTAGAGTGCAGCAATATTCCAGCCTAGATAGAACAAGTGACCTGAAGAGTGTCATCATGGGCTTGGCCTCCCTAGTTTTGAAGGTTCTCATTATCCATCCTGTCATTTTTCTAGCAGATGCGATTGATACAATGTTATGGTCCTTGAAGGTGAGATCCTCCGACATAATCACTCCCAAGTCTTTGACGTTGGTGTTTCGCTCTATTTCGTGGCCAGAATTTGTTTTGTACTCTGATGAAGATTTAATTTCCTCATGTTTACCATATCTGAGTAATTGAAATTTCTCATCGTTGAACTTCATATTGTTTTCTGCAGCCCACTGAAAGATTTGGTTGATGTCCGCCTGGAGCCTTGCAGTGTCTGCAATGGAAGACACTGTCATGCAGATTCGGGTGTCATCTGCAAAGGAAGACACGGTGCTGTGGCTGACATCCTTGTCTATGTCGGATATGAGGATGAGGAACAAGATGGGAGCTAGTACTGTGCCTTGTGGAACAGAGCTTTTCACCGTAGCTGCCTCGGACTTACTCTGTTGACGACTACTCTCTGTGTTCTGTTAGTGAGGAAATTATAGATCCATCAACCGACTTTTCCTGTTATTCCTTTAGCGCGCATTTTGTGCGCTATTACGCCATGGTCACACTTGTCGAAGGCTTTTGCAAAGTCTGTATATATTACATCTGCATTCTTTTTGTCTTCTAGTGCATTTAGGACCTTGTCGTAGTGATCCAGTAGCTGAGACAGACAGGAGCGACCTGTTCTAAAACCCATGTTGCCCTGGGTTGTGTAACTGATGGGTTTCTAGATGGGTGGTGATCTTGCTTCTTAGGACCCTTTCAAGATTTTTATGATATGGGATGTTAGTGCTATTGGTCTGTAGTTCTTTGCTGTTGCTTTACTGCCCCCTTTGTGGAGTGGGGCTATGTCTGTTGTTTTTAGTAACTGAGGGACGACCCCCTGTCCATGCTCCCTCTCCATAGGATGGAAAAGGCTCGTGATAGGGGCTTCTTGCAGTTCTTGATGAACACAGAGTTCCATGAGTCTGGCCCTGGGGCAGAGTGCATGGGCATGTCATTTATCGCCTGTTCGAAGTCATTTGGCGTCAGGATAACATCGGATAGGCTTGTGTTAATCAAATTTTGTGGCTCTCTCATAAAAAATTCATTTTGATCTTCGACTCTCAGTCTGGTTAGCGGCTTGCTAAAAACTGAGTCATATTGGGACTTGAGTAACTCACTCATTTCCTTGCTGTCATCTGTGTAGGACCCATCTTGTTTAAGTAGGGGCCCAATACTGGGCGTTGTTCTCGATTTTGATTTGGCATAGGAGAAGAAATACTTTGGGTTTCTTTCGATTTCATTTATAGCTTTTAGTTCTTCCCGCGATTCCTGACTCCTAAAGGATTCTTTTAGCTTAAGTTCGATGCTTGCTATTTCTCTGACCAGTGTCTCCCTGCGCATTTCAGATATATTGACCTCTTTTAGCCGCTCTGTTATTCTTTTCCGTCGCCTGTAAAGGGAGCGCCTGTCTCTTTCTATTTTACATCTACTCCTCCTTTTTCTTAGAGGAATAACCTTGTGCATACATCGAGTGCCACCGAGTTAATCTGTTCTAGGCATAAGTTTGGGTCTGTGTTGCTTAGTATATCTTCCCAGCTTATATCGGTTAGGACTTGGTTTACTTGGTCCCACTTTATGTTTTTGTTATTGAAGTTGAATTTGGTGAATGCTCCCTCGTGACTAGTCTCATTTTGTCGGTCTGGGGCTCCTCGCATACATGTCTGAACCTCAATTATGTTGTGATCTGAGTATATTGTTTTTGATATGGTGACATTTCTTATCAGATCATCATTGTTAGTGAATATGAGGTCTAGTGTATTCTCCAGTCTAGTAGGCTCTATTATTTGCTGGTTTAAATTGAATTTTGTGCAGAGATTTAAAAGCTCGTGTGAGTGTGAGTTTTCATCAGAGCTGCCTCCTGGTGTTATTACTGCAACAATATTATTTGCTATATTCCTCCATTTTAGGTGCCTTAAGTTGAAATCCCCCAGGAGCAAGATGTTGGGTGCAGGAGCTGGAAGATTTTCCAGACAGTGGTCAATTTTTAACAGCTGTTCCTGGAATTGCTGGGATGTTGCATCCGGAGGCTTGTAGACTACCACAATGACTAGGTTTTGGTTCTCGACCTTTACTGCTAAAACTTCCACTACGTCATTTGAGGCATTAAGCAGTTCTGTGCAAACAAGTGACTCTGCAATGTACAGGCCAACCCCCCCCTTTTGCCTGTTCACTCTGTCACATCTGTATAGGTTGTAACCTGGGATCCATATTTCATTGTCCAAGTGATCCTTTATGTGGGTCTCAGTGAAAGCCGCGAACATTGCCTTTGCCTCTGCAAGCAGTCCACGGATGAAAGGTATTTTGTTGTTTGTTGTTGGCTTTAGACCCTGTATATTTGCAAAGAAGAATGTTATCGGACTGGTGGTATTGTTGGTACTGGGGGGGGATTTTTTTTCCGGCATTAGTATCTGTATCTGTTGGTTTGGAGTGGAGGCCATCGACTGTGGTTCCACTCCAGGAATGACTGGATTTGGTGTACGATTTCTGCCATTTCCTGCCAGTTTTTTTTCCTTCCTGGCACTAAAAAACCTCTCCCTCTTGAGTGGCTGTGGCTACCCAGGTTTTCCCATGGCCTGGATGTTTTGTATCTTTTTGTCCCCTTTAGATGGTATGCCTTGCAATTTAAGTTATAGCACAGTCTTTCCTGTACTGAAGAGGTACACATTTCAGGGTGAAAAAGCTTACAGGAAGGGAGTTTGCATTTTCCTGTTGTCATATGGGCATGGCATTTTCTAGGGTGGTCATAGTTGCACGTCCCATCCATAGAGGGGCCTGGAGACGTGACTAATGAGCAGAGAAAATGTTATTTTAGTCCCAGGAATGTTTATTCTGGCCCCTATTTTGAAATTGTCCATTTTTGAACTTTGTGTGAAATTGGCCAAATTTGTAATTTCTGATCACCTTTTTTTGTGTAGTTGAAATAGGTAAATGGGCAGTTTCTTGTACTCAATTGATAGAACAAAAAGAGTTCTAGCGAAATAGCTACGAGTTTGGTCGAGCGTAACAAAGGAATTGGCCTAAAGTAGGGCTCAAAGTGGGTAAAGTTGCCAGTGCATAATATCACAGAGACTGCTAACTTCATGAGAGCATAATTCCATAAGTTTTTCATCAAATTTCAAACTTTTGGTTTCATTACCTTCGGAAAAAGATTCTTTGTCATTTCATAAGAAAAAGTTTTTTTTTTTAATTCTTCGACACTACAAGAAAGTTTGCAAGCAGGGGTCTCGACACTCAAAGGGTTAACTAGGCATACAGAGAAGTTTAAAGGGAAGCGAGCCAGAATATAAAGAGAGGGGGGGATGGGAAGGGTAGAACAGGAGGGAAAAATATAGTAGTAACAGTAGAAGTATAGTAGTATTAGCCCTTTCAGGGTCTATGCTGTAAATCTACGGCTTTACGTTGAGGGTCCAAACTGTAGATCGACGCCATGAGCTCAGCTCACTCTGATAAGCTGTGAGCAGTAAATTTGAGCCTAGATATGAGAGAATACATCTATGTGGTATGTGTGCACCACATAAAACAAATTCTGCAGCACACAGTGCATGATGAGAGAAAAAAATTGAGACCGTAATTTTCGATTAAAACAGCTACTTTGCAGTGTTTTTTTGTATGTTTTTTATAGTTGTACTATTTGCAATTTCTTGGTCTCATTTGATAGAATGGAAGATATATTA